GGAAGGAACATGTTCCTTAGCTCTGAACCTACAAGTGAAAGCTAATGCAGCCCTGGCGCTGACTCTGATACACCCGCCAGTGTCACTCTAGAGAACCTGGCCCTGCCAGCGCACGGACAGCCCTGCCACTTCCACTGCTACAGAACCGAACTTGCCTTCAATCCGCCCGCAGCGTGGGGACAGGAGAGAGCTCCAGAGCTTACTAGTGGCAGCATTCCCGTCCCCGCCCCAGAAACGTGTCCACATTATAAAACCCAGCAGCACAATGGGCACTGACTGGCCCCCATCTTGAAAGGCTCAGCAGAGAGGCTGACTGGGCCATGGATGCTGAACTGCCCTCCCATCCCTAGCCAGTGTTCCTCCAGGGCAGGGATGAGGGAGCCAGTGAGAGAAGGTTGCCCTGCTGCCACCCATGTGGTGTGCCTCTCCGTGGGGATGAAATCCCAAGGCTGCTGGTCTGGCACCATCCAGCAGCCCTGACATTGACTCTGCTGGGCTTGTTTTGGAATAAGGGCAGGGAACAGACCCCCCACCTCCTCTTCCTGCTCTGTCACAAACACTTGGGGGATGCCACCAGCCCCTAGAAAGGGAGCTCAGTCCTCACCTGTCATTATCCATCAGCAGGGCCAGGCGCCCATAGTCCCAAGCTGCTTTCCGAAGGCAGGAGAAGACCAGGAGGAGGAGCTGCAGCAGGAGAGAGAAAGCAAAGGGTTGATGTTCCAGCCACCTGACTTCTAGAGGCCCCTCCATTCAGGGGGGTTGCCCTCCACAGGTGGGCCCAGACATGACAGCAGAACCAGTCAAAGCTCCTCTCAAAGCCAAATTGAGGTCCTGCTCCAGTGACTCCATTGCAACTGGCTCCTGGTGACTGCATTCACACACCCCAGCAGAGACCCACAGAGTCCAGGGTACTAAACCGCAACACCCATCCACACAAGGTGAATATACCCACACACAGGCACACAACTAAGGTGACCATACACACATACACACACAGAAAGGCAGAGACCCATATAGCCAGGGCAAGCCCCACCTCATCTCTATCTCTCTCTCTCACACACACACACACACACACACACATTAACGCAGAACAAGAGTCACACTCAAAGAAACTACCTCCCACCTCGTAGTCAGAGCTGTATGCCCAGCATAGTCACACAATACAACCCTTCCACACCTTCCCAGGCCCAGTTATACACCCACCATGGGCTCAACACATGCTGGAACCCACCCAGATGCCTACAGGCAGAATCTGATACCTGCTGCAGGCTCACATAACGCACACACATGTCCATGATTATGACACTCGTCTCTCCTCGGGGACTCCACCTGCACACACACGGCCTCGTTGGCACCAGGAAAATCAGGGCTCATAGTTCACCACCTGGCCAGCTCCATTAGCAAGAGCTGCAGTGGAGACAGGGCTCAGGCATTCTGACCACTGTGTCATCTGACCACGCTGAATAGGTGATGTGGTGTCACACTTTAGTCCTGTGTGCGGTTCTAGTCACGCTGAGTCACTCCCACCCCGAGGCCTGCCTCTTTCCGTCCCCAGGTCACTTGAGACACTGCCGAGAGACTGGGCAGACACTGGGAGGTGGGGACAGGGGGCAGTATGGCACCCTGGCACGGCCCCCTCCTCGCCTCACTCACCAGCCAGAGGATGAAGTTGATGGCGAGCACGGTGGGCACGCCGCCGAATGGCAGTCCCTGCAGGACCGTGCTGCGGGACCGGGCGCTGAAGCACTGCTCCTCCGTGCTGTTCGCCAGCGGGTCCAGGAAGCTGAGGACATCTAGGGAGATGGGGTTGGCACCCCCGGGTGCAGGCTCAGCCAAGTACACGGTGTCCATCTGTGCCTCCACGCAGACCCTGCAAAACACCTGGGCAGAGTCCACCAGGGGCAGGATGGCGTTGGGGAGTGGGGGAACATTAGCGGGCAGGAGTTCACAGCTACTCCAGTCCTGGCCTTCCCCAGCAGGTGGAGCTGGCTGTGAGCACGGCTATTAGAGCCCCAGCCTCTCTCAGCAGGAGGCACCACAGAGATGAGTGTAGGGCAGGTAGCTGTCAGAGTGAGCACGTAGCTAGTGCAGTCCCAGCCGCTGGCGCTGTAGGAATCAGCACAGGAACACGGGATGGGCGAGCTCCCAGCTACTCAATTCCCAAGCTCTCTCAGCAGGAGGTGCTGTAGGAGATGGGGCAGGGCACTGGTGGTGGGCCGCTCACAACTTCTCCAGTCTTAGCCTCTCCCAGCAGGAGGTGCCATGGGGAATGGGGAAGCTCCCATCTGCTCCAAGCCCTGTCCCAGGGCTACACTCCATAAGACTACACACGATTGTTGTCATTTGGTTTTCAGATGCCGTCTCATTTGTACTCATACCTGACCAAGGTCCCTCGCTGCCTTCCCCACTCAGTCCTGGCGGCTGGAATCAGTCACTGCCATCACGCTGCGGCCAGTGTGTAGGAGCGAGGCACTGAACCGTTCGCCAGAGCTGCTATGAGAAAGAGAGACACTGATACTAGGAGAGGGGCAGACAGGGCTCTGCTCACCTTGTTCCCACACCACCTTAGTTTCACCTTTTGTGGCAACCCAATAAATTACACCCCCCCCCCCCACACCAATACTCAGAATCTTTGATGTTATAAAGTCCTGTTGGATCCTCCAGTTTATCTTCCTGCCAGCATAGGACTGTTCCTCTGGGATATTTCCTCGGCTTTACTACAGTCCAGTTTCAATGTCCCAAACGATGGGGCTCCCACCGCTTCCCCTGGGAGATGACATGACAGCCTCACAGAATTCGCTATTAGGAAATATTTACTGCTATTCACCTTCAATGATTTCATCCTAGTCCCTTTAGCTGTATACCCTTGAGCAATCCCCTGCTCCCCTGGGGGCTTCTACCTGTCAAACACCTGTGACCCGCTACTCGCCCCTTGGTCATTGCTTAGCCAAGCTAAACATACCAAGTCCTTGTCATCTCTCCTCATAAACCAGCCCCTCCATCACTTTCGTTGCTCTCCTCTGACATCCTCCCAACTTGCTGATATTTTTCTGGCCCTGAGGTGCCTGGGATTGATCTCACAGCAGCCATAGAGACAGAGTTAATTGCCTCCCTGCTCCTGGAGGAGCTGTCAGAAATGAGGCAGAGTTACTGGCAGTGGGGTTGCTCACAGCTAGCTACTCCAATCCTGGCCTTGCCCAGCACTTGTTTCCTGGCACTGCAAGTCCAGAGCTACTTTTCCAAGTGTTCTTGCCTCTATCAGGACTTGTCTTCACTAGGAAATACTGTGTTAAAATAGAACGACATGTCACCAGCCACAACTAACAGGTCAGCGTGGACCAGGACTAGTTGTGGTTGGTATCACGTGAGCTGCCTTTGCTCCTCACAATAGTGTTTGAACACAGAAAGGCTTCCTACTGCCAACAGGCCTCACCGGCCCTCCAGGAATTGGCTCAGCTGGACTCCATCACATCAGACCTATCCAACAGTTGAGCTATTTTAGCATTGTTTTGACTCCATTCGTTTTCCCTGGTAACCAGAGGAGGCCTCCTGGTTTGAGCCTCCCAGCTAATCCCCAAAGCAGCTTTTTTGGAAAACAGGCACCATGTTAGCAGCTCCCCGCAGACACTGGATTTCTGCCTACTTCCTCTGGCTCTGTCAATCTCGCTGTGATTTCACGCTCTTTTCTTCTGAGCCCTCAGCTGATCCCATCTGCTCCTGGCTATTTACTGCATTTAATTATCCCAAGTTGCTCTATACTAGTGGCTCTCAACCTTTCCAGGCTACTGTACCCCATTCAGGAGTCTGATTTGTCTTGCGTACCCCAAGTTTCACCTCACTTAAAAAGTACTTGCTTACAAAATCAGATATAAACATACAAAAGTGTTACAGCACACTATTGCTGAAAGGTTGCTGACTTTCTCATTTTTACCATATAATTATAAAATAAATAAACTGGAATATAAACATTGTACTTACATTTCACTATATAGTATATAGCACAGTATAAACAAGCCATTATCTGTATGAAATTTTAGTTTGTACTGACTTTGCTAGGGCTTTTTATGTAGCCTGTTGTAAAACTAGACAAATATCTAGATGAGCTGATGTACCCCCTGGAAGACCTCCAAGTACCCCCAGGGGCACACATACCCCGATTGAGAACCACTGCTCTATAATTCCCTCCTCAGCCTCTGTCAAGGCTACATTCTGACTCCCCATAAAAATGGACTTAGGGGTAAGAATTTCCCTCTGGTTTTCTACAGTAAAGACTGATGCCAAAAAATCCACTTATCTGTCACACACCCATTCTCTTTAACTGCCCCCTTCCCTGCATGGCCGGCCAATGCATGTCTCAGTGCAGCCTCACTCCTGCTAATGTACATGAAAGATGGGCTCTTAATTACCTAGATAGTGACTAAGACACAATGCGGCCCCTGCTGCACCTCCAAGAGGAAGGGGGTCCTTTCCCCACATGCCCTCCAGGCCAAATGGATAGTCCTGACTCTGGCTGAGCCAGGGGTGGTTTTGATGGGCTCCTGAGACAGCTGAGTCCAGCCCTCCTCAGCCAGAGGGATGGAGTTTGTAAGAATATAGGCCCACATTAGATTTGGATTTTAGCACGTGTGCTAGGCCCCCAGCATGTGTGCATAAAGAATGAAATCAAGAGAAAGAAAAAAGTTGTCTGCATTAAACTCATAGTGACCCCAATAATACCAATGTTGTGTTATTTAAGCTTTGGGCTAAGCAATATAAATAAAGAAAACACGGTTAACTGGGCACCAGGGATAGTACCATAATTGGCTAGAAATGTCCATTAGTTGGGAAAAAATATGGCAAAGTAAGATAAGGGGAAAAACCCTGACAAGAGCAGAGTGTAGCCCTAAACTGCTTCATCTAACTCGAGCTAAGGTCCAACAACCAGCAGTGACAACTCTTGCTTGTTATAGTGTAGAATGTTTGCTAGGGGTTCTTTGCCCTGGTCTACACTAGGACTTTAGGTCGAATTTAGCAGCGTTAAATCGATGTAAACCTGCACCCGTCCACACAATGAAGCCCTTTATTTCGACTTAAAGGGCTCTTAAAATCGATTTCCTTACTCCACCCCTGACAAGTGGATTAGCGCTTAAATCGACGTTGCCGGCTCGAATTTGGGGTACTGTGGACACAATTCGATGGTATTGGCCTCCGGGAGCTATCCCAGAGTGCTCCATTATGACCGCTCTGGACAGCACTCTCAACTCAGATGCACTGGCCAGGTAGACAGGAAAAGAACCGCGAACTTTTGAATCTCATTTCCTGTTTGGCCAGCGTGGCAAGCTGCAGGTGACCATGCAGAGCTCATCAGCACAGGTGACCATGATGGAGTCCCAGAATCGCAAAAGAGCTCCAGCATGGACCGAACGGGAGGTACGGGATCTGATCGCTGTTTGAGGAGAGGAATCCATGCTATCAGAACTCCGTTCCAGTTTTCGAAATGCCAAAACCTTTGTGAAAATCTCCCAGGGCATGAAGGACAGAGGCCATAACAGGGACCCGAAGCAGTGCCGCATGAAACTGAAGGAGCTGAGGCAAGCCTACCAGAAAACCAGAGAGGCGAACAGCCGCTCTGGGTCAGAGCACCAAACATGCCGCTTCTATGATGAGCTGCATGCCATTTTAGGGGGTTCAGCCACCACTACCCCAGCCGTGTTGTTTGACTCCTTCAATGGAGATGGAGGCAATACGGAAGCAGGTTTTGGGGACGAAGAAGATGATGATGAGGAGGAGGTTGTAGATAGCTCACAGCAAGCAAGCGGAGAAACCGGTTTTCCCGACAGCCAGGAACTGTTTCTCACCCTAGACCTGGAGCCAGTACCCCCCGAACCCACCCAAGGCTGCCTCCTGGACGCAGCAGGCGGAGAAGGGACCTCTGGTGAGTGTACCTTTTAAAATACTATACATGGTTTAAAAGCAAGCATGTGAAAGGATTACTTTGCCCTGGCATTTGCAGTTCTCCTAGATGTAGTCCTAAAGCCTTTGCAAAAGGTTTCTGGGGAGGGCAGCCTTATTGCGTCCTTCATGGTAGGACACTTTACCACTCCAGGCCAGTAACACGTACTCGGGAATCATTGTAGAACAAAGCATTGCAGTGTATGTTTGCTGGCATTCAAACAACATCCGTTCTTTATCTCTCTGTGTTATCCTCAGGAGAGTGAGATATAATTCATGGTCACCTGGTTGAAATAGAGTGCTTTTCTTCAGGGGACACTCAGAGGAGCCCATTCCTGCTGGGCTGTTTGCCTGTGGCTAAACAGAAATGTTCCCAGCTGTTAGCCACAGGGAGGGGGGAAGGTTGAGGGGGTAGTCATGCAGTGGGAGGAGCCAAAATGCGACCTTGTAATGAAAGCACATGTGCTATGTATGTAATGTTAACAGCAAGGTTTACCCTGAAAGAGTGTAGCCACTGTTTTATAAAATGTGTCTTTTTAAATACCGCTGTCCCTTTTTTTTTCTCCACCAGCTGCATGTGTTTCAATGATCACAGGATCTTCTCCTTCCCAGAGGCTAGTGAAGCTTAGAAAGAAAAAAAAAACGCACTCGCGATGAAATGTTCTCCGAGCTCATGCTGTCCTCCCACACTGACAGAGCACAGACGAATGCGTGGAGGCAAATAATGTCAGAGTGCAGGAAAGCACAAAATGACCGGGAGGAGAGGTGGCGGGCTGAAGAGAGTAAGTGGCGGGCTGAAGAGAGTAAGTGGCGGGCTGAAGACAGGGCTGAAGCTCAAATGTGGCGGCAGCGTGATGAGAGGAGGCAGGATTCAATGCTGAGGCTGCTGCAGGACCAAACCAGTATGCTCCAGTGTATGGTTGAGCTGCAGCAAAGGCAGCTGGAGCACAGACTGCCACTGCAGCCTCTCTGTAACCAACCGCCCTCCTCCCCAAGTTCCATAGCCTCCACACCCAGACGCCCAAGAACGCGGTGGGGGGGCCTCCGGCCAACCAGCCACTCCACCACAGAGGATTGCCGAAAAAAAAGAAGGCTGTCATTCAATAAATTTTAAAGTTGTAAACTTTTAAAGTGCTGTGCTTAAAGTGCTGTGTGGCATTTTCCTTCCCTCCTCCACCACCCCTTCTGGGCTACCTTGGTAGTCATCCCCCTATTTGTGTGATGAATGAATAAAGAATGCATGAATGTGAAGCAACAATGACTTTATTGCCTCTGCAAGCGGTGATTGAAGGGAGGAGGGGCGGGTGGTTAGCTTACAGGGAAGTAGAGTGAACCAAGGGGTGGGGGGTTTCATCAAGGAGAAACAAACAGAACTTTCACACCGTAGCCTGGCCAGTCATGAAACTGGTTTTCAAAGCTTCTCTGATGCGTACCGCGCCCTCCTGTGCTCTTCTAACCGCCCTGGTGTCTGGCTGCGCGTAACCAGCAGCCAGGCGATTTGCCTCAACCTCCCACCCCGCCATAAACGTCTCCCCCTTACTCTCACAGATATTGTGGAGCACACAGCAAGCAGTAATAACAGTGGGAATATTGGTTTCGCTGAGGTCTAAGCGAGTCAGTAAACTGCGCCAGCGCGCCTTTAAACGTCCAAATGCACATTCTACCACCATTCTGCACTTGCTCAGCCTGTAGTTGAACAGCTCCTGACTACTGTCCAGGCTGCCTGTGTACGGCTTCATGAGCCATGGCATTAAGGGGTAGGCTGGGTCCCCAAGGATACATATAGGCATTTCAACATCCCCAACAGTTATTTTCTGGTCTGGGAATAAAGTCCCTTCCTGCAGCTTTTGAAACAGACCAGAGTTCCTGAAGATGCGAGCATCATGCACCTTTCCCGGCCATCCCACGTTGATGTTGGTGAAACGTCCCTTGTGATCCACCAGAGCTTACAGCACTATCGAAAAGTACCCCTTGCGGTTTATGTACTCGGCGGCTTGGTGCTCCGGTGCCAAGATAGGGATATGGGTTCCGTCTATAGCCCCACCACAGTTAGGGAATCCCATTGCAGCAAAGCCATCCACTATGACCTGCACATTTCCCAGGGTCACTACCCTTGATATCAGCAGATCTTTGATTGGGTGGGCTACTTGCATCACAGCAGCCCCCACAGTAGATTTGCCCACTCCAAATTGATTCCCAACTGACCGGTAGCTGTCTGGTGTTGCAAGCTTCCACAGGGCTATCGCCACTCGCTTCTCAACTGTGAGGGCTGCTCTCATCTTGGTATTCATGCGCCTCAGGGCAGGGGAAAGCAAGTCACAAAGTTCCATGAAAGTGCCCTTACGCATGCGAAAGTTTCGCAGCCACTGGGAATCGTCCCAGACCTGCAACACTATGCGGTCCCACCAGTCTGTGCTTGTTTCCCGAGCCCAGAATCGGCGTTCCACAGCATGAACCTGCCCCATTTAGCACCATGATGCATGCATTGGCAGGGCCCATGCTTTCAGAGAAATCTGTGTCCATGTCCTGATCACTCACGTCACCGCGCTGACGTCGCCTCCTCGCCCGGTATCGCTTTGCCAGGTTCTGGTGCTGCATATACTGCTGGATAATGCGTGTGGTGTTTAATGTGCTCCTAATTGCCAAAGTGAGCTGAGCGGCCTCCATGCTTGCCTTGGTATGGCGTCCGCACAGAAAAAAGGCGCGGAACGATTGTCTGCCGTTGCTCTGACGGAGGGAGGGGCGACTGATGACACGGCTTACAGGGTTGGCTTCAGGGAGCTAAAATCAACAAAGGGGGTGCCTGTACATCAAGGAGTATTTCAGGCAGGACTTCACGGAGGGTTCCAATAAGAAATGGTGCACCTAAGTTATTGTTCTTATTGGAACAAGGAGGTTAGCCTGGCCTCTGATTGATACATGGCTAGATTTACCTCGCTGCACCTTCTCTGTGAGTGACTGCAGTGTGACCTAGAGGAATGAGTCCCCTAGACAGGGGAGGAGGCAAATGAGTACAAAACAAATCTGGTCTATTTCTTGTTTTGACCCACTCCATCTATCTTTTACATCTTTGGCTGGCAGCAGACGGTGCAGAAGGACTGCATGCCATCCACATCTCATGGCTGCTCGGCAGAAGATGGTACAGTACGACTGCTAGCCATCCCCATCTCTTGCCTGCCTGGCAGAAGATGGTACAATACGACTACTAGCAATCCTCATCTCTTGCCTGCCTGGCAGAAGATGGTACAGTACGACTGCTAGCAGTCCGTATCGCCTGCCCGCTCACCATAAGACGGTTCAATAGGACTGACTGCAGGACTAAAGAGAATGACCTGGTCAAGTCACTCCAAATTTAGTCCCTGCGCCCATGTCTGCCCAGGCGCTCCCAGCCGACGTGGCCAGGAGCACCTCGGACACGACGAGGACGACTACCAATCGTATTGCACCATCTGCTGCCAGAAGGCAATGGGTTGCTGCTACTGTGCAGCAAAGCCGTATCGCGTCTGCCAGCACCCAGGAGACATAGGGTGACGGTTACCTGAGCGGGCTCCATGCTTGCCGTGGTATGGCGTCTGCACAGGTAACTCAGGAAAAAAGGCGCGAAACGATTGTCTGCCCTTGCTTTCACGGAGGGAGGGAGGGAACGGGGGACCTGACGATATGTACCCAGAACCACCCGCGACAATGTTTTAGCCCCATCAGGCATTGGGATCTCAACCCAGAATTTCAATGGGCAGCGGAGACTGCGGGAACTGTGGGATAGCTACCCACAGTGCAACGCTCCGGAAGTCGACTCTAGCCTCGGTACTGTGGAAGCGCTCCGCCGAGTTAATGCACTTAATGCACTTAGAGCATTTTCTGTGGGGACACACACACTCGAATATATAAAACCGATTTCTAAAAAACCGACTTCTATAAATTCGACCTTATTCCGTAGTGTAGACATACCCTTTGTCAGAGCTTTTCCTTATGCCTCGAGTCACACCATGATGGGAAGGTGTCTCCCAGGTCTGAACCTGTTGCATTTTGGTCAATGCCTATAAACAGTTTTGTTGCTAGGGTAGGGAATTCAGGTGTGTATATATATGCTTATAGTTGTATTTTGGTTGTAATGAACACCAAGTGGCCTTTGGACTAATAGGAATGCCTGTGTGGAAACTGAGTCATGGTAAACCTTAATAAACTTATTAGGAACATTTTTTTAAAGAGATTTGGCCTAGTGTGGGGCCTTTTTGGTGGGGGGGGGGGAAGGAGGGAAGAAATGTAGGAGGTACAGCACCTCCAACAAAAGATAGGTGAGAAAACCCAGGTGAGTAGCTTGTGTGAGTCACTTTTTGATCCTGTCCCAAGCTAGAGGACAGGAGAAAAGGAGGACTTGTGGCACCTTAGAGACTAACAAATTTATTTGAGCATAAGCTTTTGTGAGCTACAGCTCACTTCATCGGATGCATTCAGTGGAAAATACAGTGGGGAGATTTATATACACAGAGAACATGAAACAATGGTGTTATCATATACACTGTAACAAGAGTGATCAAGTAAGGTGAGCTATTATCAGCAGGAGAGCTGGGGGGAAAAAACCTTGTGTAGTGATAATCAAGGTGGGCCATTTCCAGCAGTTGACAAGAACGTGTGAGGAACAGTGACGGGTGGGGGGTGGGGGGTGGGGAATAAACATGGGGAAATAGCTTTACTTTGTGTAATGACACAGCCACTCCCAGTCTTTATTCAAGCCTAAGTTAATTGTATCCAGTTTGCAAATTAATTCCAATTCAGCAGTCTCTCCTTGGAGTCTGTTTCTGAAGTTTTTTTGTTGAAGAATTGCCACTTTTAGGTCTGTAATCGAGTGATCAAAGAGATTGAAGTGTTCTCCGACTGGTTTTTGAATGTTATAATTCTTGATGTCTGATTTGTGTCCATTTATTCTTTTACGTAGAGACTGTCCAGTTTGACCAATGTACATGGCAGAGAGACATTGCTGGC